ACTCTCTAGACACCTACGCTCAGAGAGCTGGTGGGATTTGTCTCTTTGTAGTTGCAGTGGCAGTAGTGGCATCATGGTTTAACATAAAATGAACATTTTTGGGGCCAACATCGGCCCAAACAGCTAGGCAACGCTTCTGCGGCGCCGCCTGGCACGGGGAGTCACGCCCCCGCGCCGCCAATGCAAGGGCACATTTTTTTTGATGGTGGTTCTCTCAAGTCTCGGCCGGCGTCCCACGTAAAGGTGCGTTGGTACAGGCGGCATAGATTTGCCGTAGCCTCCCCTTCTCCTCTCTGGGGCACGGGCAAAGTGCAGCTCGCGTGCCTTGGCCCACGTAGCGGGTTCAAGGCGTGGGGTCTTTGCCATCCCTCACCACTTTTTCGAGGGTCTGTTGCCTGGGCGTTAGCTTTGTCCGTTAATGCACTGCTTCCAATGGCTTCTAGAATATCCTGGATGCGCATCTTCCCTAAAGGGAAATCCCGTATCTGGGGGGTTCCACACATCATTGCGGGAACGTCTTCGAGCCCACTGCATTCGCCACAATTGCACTCCGTTATGTCTTACTTCTGGACATTCGCCTTACGACCGTGCACAATTGTCGCGGCAAGTGCCTGTAGCCGTCAGCTCCTGTGCAACATGCTTTGCACCACAAACACTCCCTCCATATTGATGCCGTCGCTCATGGACATTTTGCGTTCTGAAATTTTGGACGCAGACGCTCGCGCTGAGTGGTTCCGGGTATTACTGGACTTCGTTTGAATATCGATCCTCTTCGCGAATTGGGCGCGAAGCCGGAGTTCTTAGAGTGGTGGGAACATGGCTGGCCACTAGTCTTCTTGTGCCAAAAACGACCCAAACATTTTTACACATACCAGATATTTAATCGATAACGTGTTGATTGCCGAACATGAGTGGGATCGATGGGAAAAGCTAGGCAACATTAGATTTTCTCTCCTGGCGAAGTCCTTCGCAACTTAGTTGTCAATCCATGTGGCCTTGTCGTCAAAGAAAAACCAAGTGTTATTTCAAATAACATGTTCGACAAATTCAGATCACGCCTCATCGTTGACTTTATCCGTAGTGGTGTCAACCCATCTGTCGGTGAGGTTCTGGTCAAGTACGGTTCTTTGGACATGGCATTGTCTCGGATTGCTCCTGGAGGTTGGCTCTTCGTTCTGGATTTAGCCGATGCGTTCTGCAATTGGCGAGCACACCCAAACGACACAAATACGGTTGGTTTCTTCTCCCCAAGCCGGCAGCGGCATGGCGAATATCGGTTTTTACCCATGGGGCTCCCGCCCACCTTCCCAGAGACAATCGTGGGTTGGATGGGTCTTCGACACGATTCGGAACGAATTGTCCGTTGGCCCTGAGAAATGTGAAACACGCAGTCGTTTATTCGAAGAGGTGCTCCGAGCGAATGCTCCAGGCAATCTTCGCCCTTGCGCGCTGGCCTCCGCTGCTGGCCTCGCCTTGCATATCAGCGAGGTGTTTTTACAGGGCCGGCGCCGCCTACATGTCTGGGCTACTTTAGATGCAGCAGGTGTCTCAGCCGTCTGGGCAAACACACCGTCTGCTCATCCACACGTGCGCTTGTCTTTGGAATGCCGGTCACAAGTGGAGTGGTGGGTGCGCGCTTTAGTTTTACCTCCTTCGCGCCCGTTCCATGCCGAAGCAAGCTCTTGATCCTGGTGGGGCCCTAAATCCGTCGATTTTGAAAACTGGAGAGACCTAGCCGCCTCTGGTTGCGTCCGCGTAGTAGAAACGGATGCTTCCAAACTAACAAGTTGGTCTTACCACTTGTGTGGTTTGGGTTTGGTCAAAACCGGGCAATGGCCGGACAATTTCGCTAACCTGGCCGACAACGCGGAATCCATCAATTTTAAGGATTTGTGGGCCCAGAAGAGGCCCCAAGACGGCACCCAAAAGGCTTCAAAACTCTTTCTAAGAGGCCCCCGAAGACACGCCAAGAAGGTCCCATGACGACTTCAAGAAGCAGTCCAGGATGCTCCGAGGAGGCCCCAGGAGGCCCTCGAGAGAGCCCAAGAGGCCCCCAAGAGGCCCCCAAGTGGCCTCAAGCAGCATCCAGAAGGCCAGAAAGAGGCCCCCAAAAGCTCCGGGCTCCAGGCGGTCCAGGCGGGGCCCGAACGAATATTTCCAGCTCTGGGCTCCCAGAAGCCCAACAGGGAACCCGAAGAGTTCGACCATCCAGCCTAGCTAGAACTTGAGCGCGCGCGAAGCGCGCGCGATGGTTCTAGTACCATATATCGCTACACTTCCCTCGTTTTCCCCCTGATGGGGCCTCCTGGGAGACCCTCGTCGCCATCGCCAGATTCGCCTCGCAATTCTGGTCAGAACGCGCCCAGGGAGAGGTCTGGGGAGTAGCGGTATCGGTACCTTCGGGAGTGGCCAAGAGGGAGGTGACGATTTGGAGGTGTTGGTTCTCATAGCGGAGCCATGATATCTCCCCAAATTTCATGGCGCCTTCTCTTATTTCAATGCGTCCCCAGGCCCCCCGCCCTGGGCCGCGCACATGCCACCAGCCGTGATTTGCGCCCGCCCCCCTCTTGGGACGCCCCTGAAATCGGCGCCCCCCCCGCTGCGGCTATGCTGTTGCTGGCTCGAGAGCGGGGGCTCCCGGGGCGCGACGGCCCACCACCGCTCGTTCACCCGCAGGCCCGCAGGCCGCCTGCCGCCTGCGCTCGGGCATGGCCGCCGCCGGAGGCGGCCACACCGTCCTGCTCCAGAGCGCCGGGTCGGCCGTGCCCTGTGGCCACAACGGCGCCAGTCAGTGCGACCTTACGGCGCTCGCGCGAGGCCGCAGCTGGAGGCGTCCACGCAGTCCTGATCACGAGCGACGGGTCGTCTGTGGCTTGCGGCGGCAACGGTGCTGGTCAGTGCGACCTTGCCGCACTCTCGGGAGGCCTCGCCTACACACCCAGGTCGCAGCTGGAGGCGGCCACAACGTCTTGCTGAGGAGCGACGGGGCGGCCGTGCCTGCGGCGACAACCGATTTGGTCAGTGCGACCTTCCAGCACTCGCGGGAGGCCTCGCCTACGCCCAGGTCGCAGTTGGAGGCTTCCACACGGTCCTGCTCCAGAGCGACGGGTCGGCCGTGGCTTGCGGCCGCAACGCCGATGGTCAGTGCGACCTTCTGGCGCTCGTGGGAGGCCGTCTACATTCTACACCCAGGTCGCAGCCGGAGGCGTCCACGCGGTCCTTCCGAAGCGACGGATCTGCCGTGGCTTGCGGCAACAACCGCCTTGGTCAGTGCGACCTGCCAGCGTCGGCTGAGGGCCTGATGTATGTGGCGCCTTCGTTGTCAACGCTGCTCCTGCTGGCGCCGCTCGACGGCGCCGCGGTGCGGTTCCTCACCCTGGGCGGCCAGGAGCGATTCCGAGTCCCGGCGGCGCCCAGCGCCCTGATGGCGGACGTGCGTGGGCAGCTGGTGGCGGAGCGTCATGCGGGCCGGCTGGGCCCTGGGCTTGCGCGGGTCGACGCGGTCCTGCCCGAGGGGCGGCTCCTGAGCCAGGCCTCGGACGGGGAGACCGTCGTGGGCACCTTCGGGCCCTGAGCGCGGGCGGGCAGGCCAGCGCCGAGCGAGAGCGAGGCGACGGGGTACCTTGGGCGCGAGCCTCCCCAGCCTCTTCTCCCCCCCCCCTCCACCTACCCCTTGCTCCTCCCCCGCCTCTTCCTGCTCCTCCCTCATACCCCCATCCTCGTCTTGTTTATTTGTTGTGTTCCTCCATTTTTCCTCCCCCTTCCTCCCCCTCTATTTTCGAGGCCGATCATGATTATGGTGACCATGATCATGGTCATGATCATCATAAACATGACTTGGACTATCTATGGCCATCGTGGCGCCGTCTTGAGACAAAACAAAACGAACGCTCTGACACCTCGCGCCTCCCTCTAGCCAGACCCAAGGGAGGGGACAGGGGGAGGGGTAAGCCCTTCCGCTAATGGGAAAGAGGACAACTCATCTCCTTGCACCACATCCCTCCAAGGGCGCGGTGGGAGATAGGTGGTTCTGTTATTAGGGTCACGCCCCCGCGTCCGTACCTCCACATTCCAGCCTCCCGCTGTCACTCAGAGTCAGATTCTCTCTGGCCAGGCTGATCACACACAGATTCGCTCATATTCAGACTCGCCCACATTCAAATTCGATAATGCTCAGACGTACTCGTATCGAGACCCAGGCATACTCAGACTCATTCACACTCAGACGCGCCCATACCCAATTGCTGATTCTTGCCTCTTTGCTCATTCGTATAAGCTCCCGCTCTGTCGCCCAGCTTGTCGATAGGAACCAACCAGCTCCCTTTCCATCTTACGAGCCACATTCAATGCAAAATCGACATTGTCCCTCGGCGGTCTGTCGGCGGTGCAAAATGCGCGGTAGCATTGGGACAGGGCGCACATGTTGCGCGAAAGGGCGGGACATCCCTCTCGATTTGGTGCCGCTGCCATTTTCCTAATGAGTCAGACTCTCACAGTCAGGCTAAGTCGCACACAGGCCTTATTCATTTTCAGAGTCGCCCATACTCAGACTCGCTTTTACTCACAATAGACTACGCTCAGATGCAATAGTCCCAAGACTCAAGCATATTCAGATTTATTCACACTCTGACGGGCCCAGACTCAATCGCCAATCGCTGATTCTTGTCTGGTTGCTCATTGTTATATGCTACCGCGCTGTCACCAAGCTTGTCGATAGGGGACCAACCCAGCCCCTTCCATTTCACCAGCAACATGCAAATTAAAGTCGACGTTGTCCCTCTCAACATGGACGGACGTTCTATCGTCGACGGTTCAAAATGCGCGGTAGCAGTGGGACGTACAATACCTGCGACTGCGTTATTCTTAACAACGGCACCGCGGAAAAGTATCTGCATCCCAACGTTCTGCAAATATTGCATCACGCGAGCCTCCATGGCTAATGACGTTCTCTTTGCCAGCTATGTGTTCCGCCATGCACCAGCAACTGGCGCGCCGTTCAGCTAGCTCAAAATGTTCGGCCAAATCCTGTAAATAATGGATACGGCCCAAACGAATTTTGATGTATTGGACGGCCGCTGCGTTGTCGCATCGAAACACAACGCGCCATCCTCGCAACCATGGCCCTTCTGAACGAAATACTTCGCGGGCTACTTCTTGGGGCCTCCTGGGGGCCTCTTGAGGCTTCCCGGGGCCTCCTGGGGGCCTCTTGGGGGCATCTTGGGGCGGAGAGCTTGATTTTTCAGTTCGCGTTCCCTCTCTTGGGCCCCTCTTGGGGCCTTTTTGGGACCCTCTTGCGCAGTCTTGGGCGGCTCTGGGGCCATCTCCGGGCTTTCTTGGGCCGTCTTGGGGCCCTCTCGGGGGCCTCTTGAGGCCTCCTGGGTGCCTCTTGGGGGCTTCCCGGGGGCCTCTTGGGGGCATCTTGGGGCGGAGAGCTTGATTTTTCAGTTGGCGTTCCCTCTCTTGGGCCCCTCTTGGGGCCTTCTTGGGCGGCTCTGGGGCCGTCTCGGGACTTTCTTGGGCCGTCTTGGGGCCCTCTTGGCGGCCTCTTGGGCCGTCTGGGAGCGGTTTTGGGAGCCTCTTGGGTGGTGCTTTAGCGCCGGAAACACGAAACAGCGATAATGCAAAGAAACATTGAATCCATACATGCAAGTCAACGATTTTGCCCTCTCCGGGCGCTCTTGGGCGGCATCTTCAAGGCCTCTTGGGGAGTCTTGGGGGCCTCCGGGGCAGTTCAAAACGCATCGTGCGACCTCTTGGGGGCCTCGTGAGGCCTCTTGGGGGCTTCCTGGGAGCCTCCTGGGGCGTCTTGGGGGCATCTTGGGGTGGAGAGCTTGAATTTTTTACTTCGCGTTCCCTCTCTCGGGCCCCTTTTGGGTCCTTCTTGGGACCCTCTTGCGCCGTCTTCGGCGGCTCTGGGGCTGTCTCGGGGCTTTCTTGGGTCGTCTTGGGGCCCTCTTGGCTGCTTTTTGGGCCGTCTGGGAGCGGTTCTGGAAGCCCCTTGGGTGGTGCTTTAGCACCGGAAACACGAAACAGCGAGAATGGAGAAAACATTAAACAAAACCATGCAAATCAACGTTTTTGCCCTCTCAGGGCGCTCGTGGGCGGCATCCTAAAGGCCTCCTGGGGCATCTTGGGGGCCTGCGGGGCAGTTTAAAACGCATCGTGCGACCTCTTGGGGGCCTCGTATGGCCTCCTGGGGGCTTTCTGGGGGCCTCTTGAGGGCATCTTGGGGCGGAGAGCTTGATTCTTCAGTTGGCGTTCCCTCTCTTGGGCCCCTCTCGGGTCCTTCGTGGACCCTCTTGCGCCGTCTTAGGTGGCTCTGGGGCCGTCTCGGGGCTCTCTTGTGCCGTCTTGGGGCTCTCTTGGCGGCCTCTTGGGCCGTCTTGGAGCGGTTTTGGAGCCTCTTGGGTGGTGCTTAGCGCCAGAAACACGAAACAGCGAGAATGCAATCCATAGTCGACAAAAACCATGAAAATCAACGATTTTGCCCTCTCGGGGCGCTCTTGGGCGGCATCTTAAAGGCCTCTCTGGGCGTCTTGGTGGCCTCCAGGGCAATTTAAACGTATCGTGCGTGTCCAGAGACCCCTGGACGGCGTCTTTGGAGGCCTCCTAGATGGGGTCGGAGGATCGCGCCGCATCGCCGATACATTGACGATGCATCGGCGATGTATCGGCGATGCATCGGCGATGCATCGGCGATGCACTGGCGATGCATCGTCAACGTCGGTGATGCATCGGCGACGTCGACGTGAAGCAAATCGAGCTCCACATCGAGTCGCATCGCCGATGCATCGGCGATGCAGCGCCATCCTCCGACCCCATCTACTGCGACCCCATCTAGGAGGCCTAGAGTCTGGGGCCGCTGGGATTGCTGTCTGAGGGCTCCCCGGGGCGATTTTAGACCTCCCAAAGGCGGGCCGGGCCGGCGCGCCGGGCCCCACGTTTGTGGTCGTGGTCCCGGCGCTGGGCCCCCGGACCCGGTCCCCCGTTATATGTACATGGGTAGCTTTTCCTCCTCGAGGGAATGCGCAGATTGGGCTCCTTCTCCTGCTCCTCCTCCTCCTCCTCCTCCTCCTCCTCCTCCTCCTCCCCCTCCTCCTCTTGCTTCGACGCCCGCGCGCCGTCCGGCCGGTGTCGGCGTCACTCATGGCCGCCAGCATCAGCATCGTCATCGTCATCGTCATCGTCGTCGGCGTCGGCGTCGGCGTCGGCGTCGGCGGCGGCGGCGACGGCGGCGTCGTCGGCGACGGCGGCGTCGTCGTCGTCGTCGTGGCGCGGGGCGCCGCGGCGCTGGACGTCTTATTTTCTCCCTTCCGCGCCACCGCGGCGTGGTCGGCGCCGCCCTCGGCCGCGCCCTCTGCCTGGGGAGCGGGGCGGGGGGCTGTTCTGTCCGGGCTGGGGGGGGGGGGCGCCCCCGGGGCCCCACGGGCTCGGCCGGAGGGGGAGCATCGTGACGGAGTGCCGGGTCGGACGAGTGGGAGGGGATAGCAAAAGGGAGGGCCAGCGAGTCAGCTCACGTATAGCCGATTTCCTCGGCGCCTCCCGGAGGCGCCACTGTGTCGAGGAAGGCGCTCCGCGGTGTGGCCGACATCGGCTGCACGCAGCAGGTTTCGGCACCCGCGGGGCGTGCAGGGGGGAGGCCCAGGGGAGGACTCGAGGAACGCTGGGCCCCTTCCGCAACCAGAGTGGGCCGTGTCCTAACAAGTTCCGACTGCAGCAGGCGGAGAGCAGGAGCGTGAGCGAGAGGATGCTGACAATGAACTCATGACTGGTGCAGAGCAGCATGCGTACAGGGTCTCTACCGCGACGCGCGCGAGAGGAAGAGTGCGCAACCCTCCCGCTCACCCGAACGAGAGCGGCACGACATCCGAGGCACGCAAGCTGCTAAGTGAGTCTCGGCCGTGAGGAGAAGCGAGAAGAGGTTGGTAATGGCGAGGAGAGTCTATATGATACATTTATACATCATATATACATACATCAGCGTGCGTATAAAGTACAAAACATCACAAAAACAAATGAGATGGAGCGTGAGAAATCAAAAAGAGGAATCAGCCGTGGACCCCTAGACCAGATCCCGTCGCAGAAGAGCATGACCCTCTAGCCCGCCTAGTGCGCATGCGCCAGGCTCCGAGCACCGATGGTGGGCAAACCGAGCCGCGGCGGAGGGAGGAGGCGAAACGGGATGAGGACGCCAATTAGAAGGGTCAGCCGCAAAGCCTCGGGAGGCTTATGACACTCTACAGGAGGAGGAGGAGGAGGAGGAGGAGGAGGAGGAGGAGGAGGAGGAGGAGGAGGAGGAGGAGGAGGAGGCCCCACACCGACGCCGATGGCGGCGCCTCTGGCAGTGGAGGCGGCCGGCAACGACGACCCCGACGACCCTGAAGTCGGGCACTTCCCTCTGCAGGAGTATTCAAACATAGTAAAAAAATGCTCTGGTGGCATTCTTTTTAATACTAATTTTTAACGATTAATTTGTTTGTTGTGAATATCTTTTGCTTCGTCTAAAATCTGCTTGTAGGGGGACATGCCTGACCTGAGACGACCCCGCCGACGCCGCCGACGCCGGCGTCATCAGCGCCGCCGGCGCCGCCGCCACCACCTGCGGCGTCGTCGCGATGGACGTGAAGTTTTTCTCGCTCCCTCCCTCGTCCTCGCCCTTGTCCTCGCCCTTGTCCTCGCCCTCGCCCTCGCCCTTGTCCGCGTGCTCGCCCTCGTCCTCGTCGTCGTCGACGGCGGGGGCCCCCCCTGGCGGGCGCAGGGCGCCCCATCGCGCGCGGGGCGGTGGCGCGCCTCCCCGCCGAGGGCCGCGGCGACCTTGCGGGCGCGCCGCAGCCGCGCGGCGCGCTCCTCGGAAGGCGGGGGGGGGTGGCGCGGCTCGGCACCGCCGGCGTCACCGTCGGTGTCGTCGTCGCCGTCATCGCCGACGTCGTCGTCGTCGGCGGCGTCCTCGTCGTCGGTGTCGTCGCCGTCGCCGCCGCCGCCGCCGCCGTCGTCGGCGGCGTCGGCGGCGCGGCCGTCGCAGCCATTGTCAGCGTCGGCATCGTCGTCGTCAGCGTCGGCATCGTGGGCTTCGTCGGCGTCTTTAACTGGCATCGTCGTCGCCGTCCTGGAGGCTGGGGACCGTCGTCGGCGTCCTCAGCGTCTTCGTCAGCGTCGGCGGCATAATCGAGGTCCGGGGATCGACAATCCAGGATCGAGGCTATCGGACGTTGTCGGTCCTTACTTCAAGGATCGAGGCTCTCGGACGTTGTCGGTCCTTACTTTAGGGCCTCCGGGGTCTTTCTTTGCCCTCGTCTTGTTCCTCCATCTCATCCTCTAGCCTCCTCCTTCTCGCCCCCCCTCTCTCCCTCTGCCTCTTGCTCAATTTCGCCCTCTCTCTGTCGCTGAAAGTTGTCCACTTTTCCTTCTCCCAGCTTCTCTCCAACTTCCTCTCTGCCCCCCTGTGTCCCTCTCTGAGCAGGCGGCGGAGGGTTCTGGAGTCGGCACGATGTCGGCGTGACGGTCACCGTGGGGGCGGTTCGGCGCCGACCCGATGTCTGGCTGAAGCTGATGGTGGCTACGTGCGAGGGCCTCCCAGGAGGCCCAACAAAATGCAAACACATCAACACCCTGCCGCCTCCCTCTTCCAAGGCCAGGCTAGCGGCGATGATGCTTCACAGTGATGTTGGGAACGAAACTGTAGGAAACTACCAACCACACTTTCCTACATCTCCAGTCCACGAATGGACCGAGGGAACACGACACAGCGAATTGCAGGAACGCGCGAGCCACGCGTTCCCACGCTACCGAAACCTACGTCGCCATTACCTACATCGCCGTTAGCCCGTCTACGGCTCTTCCTACAGTGGGGGCCCGACCAAAAGAAACCTTCCACAAGAAGCCCAACCCTGAGACCCCAGGACGTCCATCGATTTTTGGTGGGAACGTCACGCTTCCCATCGCAAAACCATCGGAACCCAAGGCACCCTGGATGCAAGCAGGGTGCTTCTTGGCATGGGCCTCCACTGTACGGGTCTTCTAATTTCTCCTCCTTCTGCCTCGCCTCGCTCCTCCTCTGAGGGAGGACCTCCGGAGGTGCCTCGAAGTCCTCCGGGGACCGCACAGAGAGGCCAACGTAACGTCCAGATGGGGGCGCTCTACTTTAGACTCAGGACCCAGGGGCAAGTTTCCAGTGCGGGCGCGGCCTCAAGAAACCCTCGCAAGGCACCCAACCTTGAAAAACCGCGCGCGAGGTACATCTGAGGGGAAATCCGAAGCACCCTGAACGCAGCAGCTTCTTCAACGGCTGCGGGAAGTGACCGCGCAGCGGGCGGAGCGAAGAAACCAAGGGTACCCTGACGAAAAACACATGGTTTCTTGATGCGCCCCCCACTGTACTTGCATGGCATCCCCTCCTCTGCCGCCTTTTCACACAGCGCTGAGTCGAAAAGGCGTGCAAGTGAGTCCCGAGTTGCGTGAAGTCCAGATTTCCTTTCGGGCCTTGCCACGCCCCGCCTCCCTCCTCCATCCGAACAAACAGCTGCATGAATATACACCTTCGGAGGCCCGCGCGGATTTCTTGGATCTGCGCTGGCCCCCCTCCTGGCGCGCTGCGCGCGGATCTCCGAAAGCATGTGTTTTTGCAGTTTGTTCTTTTCTTCCAGGGGTTCCTGGGCGGGGTGGGATGAAGGGGCCCTGGGACACACACATAAATACACACAAATAAAACTATTCCCCATATTTTCGTATATTTTCTGGGTTTTTGTCTTCCCCACCACTTCCCATATTTTCCCATATTTTCTGGGAATCGACGATTAATTGTGTCTGTGTGTTTTTTCCCCTCCTGATGGGATCGGGCCTCTGCCGGCGAAGAGTGGGCGGTTGGGGTCGAAGCACCCCCCGCCTGAGCATACCGTATCCCCCAAAACGCTGCCCTTGGTCTTCGGGCCACAACTCGGCTCTCCAGCGACCGTTCGGGACGATCTGGACGCCCCCAGAGCGCTCTCGGCGAGGCGCAGCCACTGGAAGGCACTCCGAGGCTCGAGAACCGGCCTGAAACCGACCGACGAAAACGTCAGGAAACCTCGGACCTTCGCTCATCCCCCCTCCTCTCCATGAAAGTCGTTAGACTTGCTGGCAACGAGTCGAAATCCGCCGACCCTGTCGGCATGTGGAAGAGGCTGTTCCGTTTTACTCGTCGTCGTAGTCGTCGTCGTCCTCGTCCTCGTCGTCGTCGTGGTCGTCGTCGTCGTCGTCGTCGTTGTCGTCACCTTCGCCGCTCCCCTCTCCTTTCCCTAGGCCCGTTGTAGTTGAGTCGAAGGGACGCCCCTTCCCTTTGATCCCTTCCCCGCACGGGGGGTCCCGGCCGGGGGTGTCCAAAGGGGTCCCCGGGGGGTCCCAGGGGGGGTCGCCACCCAGATTCGACTCCCCCCCGGGGGGGTCACACCCCCTGGGCGATTCGGGAGCCCAGAAAAGCCCCCCAAACGCAAAACTGCCCCAAGATGCCCCCAAGACGGTGCTCGAGGGCCCCGAATCGCCGAAGCATCGGTCCAAGTCGCCAAAGTAGCCTCCAGACAGCTCAAAAGGTTTCCGAAACGCCCCAAGAGGCCTCCAAGAGGGCTCCCAAGAGGGCCCCAAGTGGCAAAAATCATTGAGTTCCCTTAGGTTTTTGAAAGATTTCGGCATTCTCCCCTTGTCAGCTTCCCGACGCTCCAAGACAGGCCAAGAGGCCCCCAAGACCGCCCCAAGATGACCCAATAGGCCTCCAAGAGGCCTCCAAGACACCCGAAGAGGCCCCCAAGACGGCTCCAAGAGGGAGCCCAGACGAGTGACCCGAACGGTCATGTCGAGCCCTCGGCATGAGAAGCTCCCAGAAGGCCCCCAGAGGCCCCTAAGAAGCCTCCACTGAGGCCCCAAGATGCCCCCAAGAGACCCCCAGGGAGTCCCAAGAGGCCCCCGTCGTCGTCGTCGTCGTCGTCGTCGTCGTCGTCGTCGTCGTCGTCGTCGTCGTCGTGGCCATTCAGGGTCGGCGGCACTGACCGTAAGGCCTTCGCAAAAAAAACTGCCTCAACAGCCTGGAGCCTCGAGCCTCAAATGAGGGTCTCAAAACGTGCAGGGACAGACCGTATGGTGACCTCGAAATCCCATAGACCTCACCGCACGGCCCGTCACCGTACGGTTTGGGACATCGGAGGCCCCAATCGCCCTCGACGTCCTCGGAGAACGACCCGTGCCCCAATGACGTGCGGTGACCCCGACTTCCCCTATGACTCACCACACGCTGCGGCCACTGCACCCCATCGTGGCAGCGGTGGTGCCGCCTCCCTTTCCTCTGACGCGGAGGCGCGCCTCTCTCCGGCCAGATCACCCCAGAGCGCTGAGAGTGCGGGCCACCATCCGCGTCTCTCTGATGGTGGGCAACGCTCAGGGGGGGGGGCCAGCTCAGGGGGGGGAGAAACATCAAGTTGGAATCGGCGATGCACCGCCAAGAGATCGTCGAGAGGCCCCCGACAACAAACTGGCACGCTCTTAGGCGGGCTGGCTCACCACAGGAAGAAGAGGGGGCCATGAGATCTAGGAGATATCGTGATATCCACACCCGCAGTCATCACCCCCCTCTTGGCCGCCGCCGAAAAGACCTGCGGTGACTTCGCATGCGGGCATCGGGCCGCATCGGGCCGACGGAAAATCGAAAACTCGAGTGAGACCGGCCTGGCCAGAAACGACGTCGAATAGGATCGATCGGATCGAAGCGGTTGGCGGCGCGCAAAAGGGGGTAGGGGCAGGAGGGAAGACTTCTTAGAAAAAAACTGTTTCTTAGAAGGCGCCGGCCTTACGTGTATATAGAGAAGGCCCGCGCCTTCTAAGAAGCAGGGGTGCTTTTAAGAAGCCTTCCCCCCTCCCCCTACCCCCCTCCGCGCGTGGTCAACACACGGTGTGGCCACCGCGCCGCTGCGGGCCTCCCGACTCCAGCGACCGCAAGAGCACGCGCGGGGCTGGGGCTGGCGGCGCTCGGTGGCATCGGCCAGGGGGCCGCGCGGGTCCTTGGGGCTCAGGGCGTCGGCGTCGGCCGCCGCCTCGGGTGTTCCCCGGAGCCACGTGGCGTCGACGTTGTCGTCGTCGTCGTCGTCGTCGGCGTGGTCCTCATCGAGCTATTTGCCAGAGGATTGGAATATTCTGACATTGTTATCGGCGTGTTCCCTTGTTCTACTATCGTCAGTGGGTGTATCTCCTCAATCAACTGGATCATGGAGCTCGACATGGCTACGATAAGTATCCGTTACTCGGCAAAAAGGCGTACAATTAAGTGTGATGTCGCGCGCGTTCTAAGGGGGGAGGCGCGCGTGCTGTTTTACCCTAATTACCCCTACTTGCAGCTACAAGTCGCTGCAGCATGGGCGATGGATGACCAGCGGCGGCGTCTGGCGTCGGTAGCGGCGGCAGCGGGAGACGGCGATGAAAGAGTCATATTGCCCCCCCCCCCCGTGGCAGGATGAGTAGGACTGGGTTCAGCTCACTTCGGAGTTGCCCGTCTTCGTGCCGTTCCCCAGGCGCAATGGCCCCCCCCGGCGCCACCCCCAAACACGTTCTACGGCGCACTGGGAGGGGTGGCAGCTACTCCTGACAGAGCTCTTGAAGCGGGCCAGAGCAAGCTGACGTATCATACAAATCAAGCAGCGCGCCAGCTCACGGTCACGTACTTTGTCAGGGACATCGCCATGATCCTCAAGAACATGTCTGTATGGGGCGACATGCGGAGCTCAGAAAATGAACGTTATACAAGTTTTGTGTCAACTACAATCACTCGCAGATGAGTTCTCGCACCCCCATCCCCGAATTCCCACCACAAAAGACCCAACTGTTTGGAAAAGAGGTGGGGGCTCGGGGATGCAAACCCCGAGAGGCTGCTCGGAAGCACCACCATCGAGGCTTTACGTACCCCCCAATCGTATACCCACGAGTTGGGCCCCAAATTCTTGGTCCAGTCGCAAATCTTACAAATGCCGTGGGTTTGGGTCCCCCATGCGTATCCTCGTTAGTCGTCGTTCCACCACGAGGGGCGCTGGTTACAGCCATCGTGCTCATCGGGAGCGATGAACAAGGAACGACTGGGCTCTTCTGGCTACTGCTAGACTCGGCCACGAATCACCGATCCAGATCTCATGAGCAGCTCTAAAACCAAAGCTCCTCCGGAACCCAAGTAAGCGACGAACAAACATGGGTCTGACGCAAGACAACGTAGCGACCTTACGCGATGGCTTACGCGGGCCACCAGCGTGGCACGCTATATTGGAAAGAGGGCGCTTACGCACGACCTTACGCGGGCAGCTCACGCGCGAATGTCGGCGCAGTCGAACCCTTCTTTGCGTCGGTGAAGTAGCCCTTTTTCAGCATCTCAACTTTGAGGAGCAATGCTGTTATTTTTGGGCGGCGCGCACAGGGGGGCAGGGGGAGGGGGGAGGACTTCTTAGAAAGAGGCTGCTTCTTAGAAGGCGCCGGCCCTGCATTTACAGAGAAGGCCTGCGCCTTCTGAGAAGCAAGGGTGCTTCTAGGAAGCCTTCCCACCTCCCCGTACCCCACTCTTCGCATGGCCGATTAACAAAGGTGCCGACACCGCTACTTCCCGGACCTCTCCCAAGGTGCGCTCAGCGGTGGCGACTAGGGACTCCCAGGAGGCCCAAACAGAAGAAATCGAGGGAAGGGTAGCGGTGTGGGTACTTTTCTCCCTCCAGAAACAGCCCCTTTTCAGAATCTTGTCTGTGAGGAGCAACGCTGCTTTCCTGGCCACGCCTGAGCCCCTGGCAGGTTGCACGACCCCGGGCCTGCTGCCTTGCAGCCGAGACATGCCCATACGTTCGGGAGACTCTCCATGGGGGGGATCCTATGGGATCCCCCCCCTGGGATCCTATCCCCCCATGGGATCCCCCCCCATGAAGAGTCTCCCGATACGTCCGGCACCTCGAGAGAGTCGAGGCGGCCGGCCTGTCGCCGTTTCGGTTGATACGATCGAGATGCAGAGAA